CCTTACCAGGCTGAGGTCTTCCTTGCCCCAGTGCCCAGGGCACATCCTGTTCCCTCTGCCTCGAGGGCTGCTTCCTGCTTCTAGATGTTCTGTTAACACATTAAGCACCGAGCCTGTTCTGTCTTCCTTTCTGTTTAGCCCGCGATATCCGATTTCACCGACATGCTGGCGACACCAGTGCCTGACCGGTCCGGACGGAAAGTACAGTGTCAGTCACCGGTGACTGACATGGCACTCAACGTGTTAAGATTAGGACTATAGCAGAATAAACATTTATAAACAACCAGAGCCCATGGCCACTGGGGTCAGACATCTGGTCCTGCACCTGCCCCTCTTTAGCTATGAGACCCTGGTCCAGCCCTTCTCCACCCTGGCTCTCAGTTTCTCCACTCAGCCTCCCTTCAGTCCCGATCCTGCTCCTGCCGGCCTCAATGCCTATACATGTGTCGCTCTCTCGGTTTGGAATGCTCAGCCTTTACCTGCTCAGACCCCACCCAGGCCCTCTCCAAGGGCCGAGAACCCACCTGCAATTTCTCAGTGGGTTGTAAGGTTAAAGGGGACAGCCTGTCTCTGCCCCAGACTGTGAGCACCCTATGAGGGTGGCTGCCTTTTTAAAAAAATGTATTTTATTGATTTCAGAGAGGAAGGGAGAGAGAGATAGAGACATCAATGATGAGAGAGAATCACTGATCGGCTGCCTTTTGCATGCCCCATACTGGGAATGGAGCCTGCAACCCGGGCATGTGCCCTGATGGGGAATCAAACTGTGCCCTCCTGGTTCGACACTCAACCACAGAGCCTCGCCGGCCGGGCTGAGGTGGCTGTCCTGTTCTCCACGTGTCCCCAGCGTTTCACCCAGGGCCGGGCATACAGTCGGTGCAGATCATTAGACTGAATTAAAGGAGAAAACTAGGCAGTGAGATAGACAATCCCCAGGCTGCCCTCACCTCAGACTCCATAAGAATCTGCAGAAGGGCAGGAAGTGAAGGAAGAGACTGCAAGGTAATGGCAGCAGGAGGGGGCTGTGGGCACGAGAAGCGTGAAGACGCCCCGGGGAAGGGCTCGCTGAGCTGGAAGGAATAGAATGGTGGGTTGTCTGGCACCAGACAGAGGTGCTTATGTTGAAATGCAGCTGGACGCAGCATCAAGGAGCTGCACTCACTTCTTCCAGAATGAGGAAGACAGAGCCTTGGCAAGGCCCCCTCACCACGCAGGGCTGCACAGCGAGGCCACTCTCTTGCAAACACTGAACTGCTGAAAAGAGAGAGGGACCCTCTGCAGCTGGGGGAAACTTACTTGAAATTCACATTTGCAACTGCCATCAGCCCCATTTTTGTCTCCACAGCACTTTCGAGAGGGGCTACCTTTTAAAATATTGGGAGGGGGGCAGAAAAAGGTACTAGAGTGAACAAGACACAAACAACTAGGAAAAGCCCGGCTGGCATGGCTCAGTGGCTGAGCATTGACCTATGAACAAGGAGGTCATGGTTCGATTTCTGGTAAGAGCACATGCCCAGGTTTCAGGCTTGATCCCCAGTGGGGGTGTGCAGGAGGCAGCCAATCGTTGATTCTCTCTCATCATGGATGTTTCTATCTCTCTCTCCCTCTCCCTTCCTCTCTGAAATCAATCAAATATATATTTTTTAAAAACCTAATAGGAACAATACTGAGGGTGACAATGACTCTGGGCAGCCTTCATCATTTAGACAGCCCATCTTAACCATCCGGCCCCACACACCTCATTGAGTTCTCACAACTTCCTGAGCCAGGGATGATTGCCCCTATTTTACAGATAGGAAAACTGAGGCGCAAAGATGCTTGAAGAGTTGCCCAACGTGGCTGAGCAAGCCTGTTGGGGTTTGAATCAGAAGGTTCTCAAAGTCCAGGCCCAGGAGTGCTTTGGTCTCAGCAGAGGCCAGAGATGCTAAGACCGATCAAAGACCCATCGGAACCCGGACATTTGGTGCTGGAAGGAACCTACTGCAATCACCCCATCTGATCCCACTTTTTACGGGAGAGGAAACAGACTCCTCCCCCGCAACAGGAGCTCGTGACTGCTCTCAAAGCCACTTCCTGTCCATTTGGGAGCCTTTCTATTTTACTTTTTTAAATATATTTTTTATTGATTTTAGAGAGGAAAGAAGAGGGAGAGAGAGATAGAAACATCAATGATGAGAGAGAACCACCAATTGGCTGCCTTCTGCATGACCCCCACTGGGGATTGAGCCTGCAACCCAGGCATGTGCCCTGGACTGGAATCAAACCCAGGACCCTTCAGTTCGCAGGCCGACGCTCTATCCACTGAGCCAAACCAGCTAGGGCTCTATTTTATTTTTTTTAAATATATTTTTATTGATTTCAGAGAGGAAGGGAGAGGGAGAGAGAGATAGAAACATCAGTGATGAGAGAGCATCATTGATCGGTTGCCTCCTGCATGCCCCTTACTGGGGAATCGAGCCTGCAACCTGGGCATGTGCCCTGACCAGGAATACAAACCCGTGACCTCCTGGTTCATAGGTTGATGCTCAACCACTGAGCAACACTGGCCGGGCTAGTCTTTTTAACGACATCAGGACTTCCTTGCTAGAAAACGATCCTTCATTTGCCCAAACTGCCAAGTCTGGGTGTCTGGAGATCCCTTCCCCAGGCATTAGCACTCCCTACCTTATAGAGTTGACGAGAAAGACTTCTAGGAGGGAGTGTGGAGAGGAAAGAACATTCTAAAGGTGAAAGGGCAGGAGGTTGGCCCTAATGCAGTGGCCATCTCTTACCCAAAATACTTCTATTCCTGGAGACAAACTGCTACAGACGACAGTACTGAGCAGACAAGAGATCTCAGCTCTTCTGAGAACTGGCCCCTCTCGCTATAAAGATCCACACACACCTGTGCAAAATATAGACTGAAAATGACTAGCTTCAAGGAGAGGCTAAATTCAAATTCATCTGGGGCTCACGCCCTCCACAGCGCAGCTTCCCCTTGGACACAGTCGAGAGGGAGCCCAGGACCTCTCCCACAAGCCCGTCTAGCCTTTGAACGGGACCAGTTGTAAAAAGCGTATCTCGGACCATTTGAGTCCACATATCCTATGTTGGAGTCAAACCTGCGTCCCCTTCATGCCTGTGGTTCACCAGCTTAGTTTCTGCCCTCAGAGCCCTTGGCAACAGATTTCTGGAGCTGGAGAACCTCTTCAAAGTCTCTTCCAGGGTGAACACGCTCAGTCTCTTTGTTCCTTCCCAGGTGGTTATGTAACTAACTCTTGGTCATCACCTCCTGGGGGTAAAGTCCTTGCATTAAAGGGGGAGGGAAATGAGTGGTTGTATCCAAACAATGAAATAGGGGAGCCTGTGCTGAAGATGGTTTGTGTTATGCTAGCAACGCCTCGCTGGAGGAGAAAACAAGAGAAGAGAGAGAGGAGAGAGAGAGAGAGAGAGAGAGAGAGAAGGAGGCCTGGTGGTTCTTGCATGTCAGCAGTGGATGCTGCTCAGGGCTTTCTTCCTACTTGTTTTTATTCCTTCCGGTGACTGTCATTCATTCATCCTATCTATTGAGCACCAACTGTATGCCAGGCTCTGTCATCATGCTAGCATACAGCAGTGGTCAAATCAAAGGCCCCTGCTCTCGTGGAGTTCCCTTTGGGGGAAAATGGACTTTAAAAAAAAAAGAGAAATATATAAAATAATTAGTGTAGTAGATAGTATGGGTCTCCTACAGCTGCTATAACAAATTACCACAAACTTTGTGGCTTAAATCAACACAAGTGTATTCTCTTATGATGCTAGAGGCCAGGAGTAAGTATGAAATCAGTTTCACTGGGCTAAAGGCAAGGTGTGAGCAGGGCTAGTTTTTTCTGGAGGCTCCAGGGGAGACTGTTTCCTGCTTTTTCCAGTTTCCAGAGGTGCTTGCATCCCTTGGTTCATGGCCCCTTTCTCCCATGACTCCCATCTGTTACTTCCATCATCATAGCTCAGTGATGGCGAACCTTTTGAGCTTGGCGTGTCAGCATTTTGAAAAACCCTAACTTAACTCTGGTGCCGTGTCACATATAGAAATTTTTTGATCTTTGCAACCATAGTGAAACAAAGACTTATATTTTGATATTTATTTTATATATTTAAATGCCATTTAACAAAGAAAAATCAACCAAAAAAATGAGTTCGCGTGTCACCTCTGACACGCGTGTCATAGGTTCGCCATCACTGTCATAGCTCCTACTTCCATAGTCAAGTCTCCTTCTGCCTCCCTCTTATAAGGACCACCTGGATAACCCAGGATCATATCCTCATTTTAAGTTCCTTAACTTAATCACACTTGCAAAGTGCCTTTTGCCACGAAGGGAACATTCTCAGGTCTCAGTGATTAGGATGTGGGTATCTTTGGGTGCCGTTCTTCAGAAACTTGGGAGAGGATAATAAAGGGGCCAGGAGGTCCTCTCTGAGCAGGTGGCCTGTGGGCAGAGACCTGAAGGAGATGAGGGAGGCAAGGGTGTTTGGGGAAGAGTGTTCCAGGCAGACGGAACAGCCAGTGCTAAGTCTGAAAGTCAGAGGCAGCCAGATACGGGTAAGGAACTGGAAGGAAGCTACTGGGGCTGGAGGGGCATGAAGGGGACAGATAGCGATGGCAGTAAGCTCAAAGAAGCAGGCGGAGGCCGAACCCCGGATTCTCTGTGGGATGGGCATTTGCCCCAGGGGTTTAAGCAGGGGGTATGACACAGTCCCTCTGACTGCTGCAGGTAAAAATATCACCCGATTCATGGGAACCCAGGTAAGACTATTATAATAGTCCATGAAATGGGTTTGCAAGAATGTTTAGAATTCTCAAAATAGTGTGGAAATGGGAGCTTTTTAGGGGTAGCGGGTGGGGTGGAAATCAATCTTAAACAATGTAGCAAATATTAATTGTGGGCCTGGCCTGGTCAACTGGCAGTTCTCCCGCAACCCACCGGGGAGAAGTGCTGGGCCCACGGCCTCCACGGCTGACACAGAGACCTGGGGAGCTGTACCTGGGAAGACCTTCATCCTGCCATTCGTCCTTCACATCCACGTTTTCCATCCGGAGTGTGGCTTCTGTTGTCCCCATGGGATCAAGTGTGGCTTGAAGCAGGGATGAGTTCTGAAGGAGAGCCACGGATGGAGGTTTTACTGGACAATCATCATCATAACAACCCCTCACCTGTGTTCAGCATTTCAGATCCATCTGCAAAGAGCTCTTGCACCCATCGTTTTACTGAATCATTGCCCAGCCCCATGAGGCTTCCCGTTTCACAGGTGATAAAACAGAAGAACACCCATGTGGGTCTGGAGTTTGAACCCAGGTGAGAGACTGGGGCCCCAGCTACAGGCTCCCCTCCGCCTAACACTCTGAAATCCACCTTCCTCAGAGCTCATCACCCTTTCATTATCTTAGTCTTCAACTGGGAAGCCATAAAGCAATTAAACTCATTTATACTAAAGTGTTGATGACTAATATACTTAAGCTTCCTTGCTGGGATTGACACTTTCAAACAGGACCTGGTCAACCCCAACCCATCTCTCCAACTCATCTCTATCTGCTCCAGGCCACCTACACTGCCCCTTTATCCCCCCCGCCCACCACCCAAAGAAGAAAATCTTGACAACTTGCTGACCTGAGGGCTAACGAAGGCAGTGTGGAAAGTGACTGGGGTTGGGAGTCAGGATCATAACTATTACCAACCACAAAATGCCAGTTTTGTTTTTCTTGTTCTAGGAGCTGGCTGAGGGCAGGGGCGGGGGGGACACAGCACTCTAGATGATGGCTTAAGTGCTGGGCTGCCTGGGAGCAGAGCCAGCTGCTGAATGAGATTGAATTTGGGTATAACCTGGGGTATGGCAGACTCTCAGGCCATTCACCTCTCCCGGCTTCAGTTTCCCTGTTTGTAAATGAAAGAGTTGTGCTAGAAATAATCTCTATGATACCTTCTGGGCATAACAATCCAGGATCGTAGGACTCAAATGACACCATAGGTTCTGTGCTTTTAAACCTGCGGTTCTCCACTGGGGACAATTCTGACCACCCGCCCCCCGCCCCCAGCAGCAGCAGGGAACACGTGGCAATGCTTGGTTGTCACAACTGGAGGGGGGTTGCTCCTGGGACTGAAAGGGTGGAGGCCAGGGATGATTCTCAACACCCTGCAGCGTCCAGGATATGATCATCTGGCTCCCAGTGCCTATAGATCTGAGATTGAGAAACCCTGTTTTCATCCGCAGATCTGTGACAGGATTTCAGGCATGGCTTTGGCTGTCATTATAGAGGACCTGCTGTGTCCTTCATCCCATTCTCCCACCCTCCAAACAGCTCCAGTGTTGTTAGCCTCAGGCCCCTCACCTCCAGCCAGCCCCTCACCTTCCCTGTTGCCCAGCCGCCCCTCTGTGGAGCCGGTGCATGGCCAACAGCTGAGGTGTGACATCCCAAGCCCTGCCCGCACTGGACCACGGTCCCCGGAAAGGGTGAGGGTCTGCATTTGGGATCCTGGCTCAGAGAGGGAGGACCCAGGTGGAGCCTGAGGCCGGTGAGGGCCAGGCAGGGAGGGAGAGGATGGCTGCAGTTCGAACCCGTTCCCCACTTCCGTGAATGTCGTCATTCATTCATGGACAAGGGACAGTGAGACGCAGTTCGCCAAAAAAATAAATAAAAATCTTCCTGACCGCATGGGCAACCACGACCACCCAGAACCCTACTGCAAGGGAGAGGTCAGCGCAATGGAACTTCATTTCCTGCCGGAAGGGAGGGGTCTTTTGCGTCAGTTTTCCTTATTCTGAGTTGGGTGTGACCTCAGCCCCCAGGAGGGACCCCCACCCCCCCGTCCCCCACCTCACACACACATACCTACAGCCCAGACCTGGGAGCTACACATGTTGCCCCAAGGTCCTCTACATGTGGGTGTGGGTAGGCCCCCGAAGGCCCTGTCCACTCCCACTCTCCCATCCTGACTTCACATTGAAGAATGGCAATGAGGCAAAGGCTGGGAGAGGGAGAGCTGGGAAGTGTTCCTTTGCGCGGTTGTGCTGAATTATTAGCGCATCACAGTCAAGACCAGAGAGAGGAGGAATCTGCCTTCAGCCACCTCCCTGCCTCCCACCCCATAGGCAAGCCTTGATGTACACACTCTCCAAGCCTTCTGCCGGATCGCTCCCAGGCCTATAAATAGGAAAGGCACAGAGGGGGGAAGTGGGCATTCCGGTCTGGTAGGAAGCGTTCGGAGAGGGGCTGCGGGTTTTAGCCGCCGAATCTCCAAACGCGTCCTGAAAATTGTGCGGTTCTCTGCCTCCTGGTGAGAGATAGGCATGGAAGGGGAACGGACGGAGAAGCGGATGGGTTCCCACCCAAAGAGTCAGGACCGTGGCTCTCGCTCCCCACCAGCCCCGTCAGCCAGAAGGGGGGCTGCAGCAGCAGATGCCTGGGGCACCCCGCCCAGCAGGGTGGGGGAAAGCGAGGTGGACTCACCTCCGCGGTGAGTGCTGGTTCCCTCCGAGGCCTCTCCCGGTTACGCGCAGACAAAGGCGAGCCCTGCGCGGCTGCAGCCCGGCATCCCCGGTCTTCCCCGCCCGTCCGCGGGCTCTCAGAGCATCCGAGGAAGATGCGCGCAGGGGCGGACTCTGCATCCAAGCAAGGTCACCCCGAGCGACGTGGCGGGCGCGGAGGGCGCTTTTGTCCCGGGGCGCGAGCGGTGTGCAGCTAGCTGTCGGCTCCCCCGCGCTCGGAGGCAGCGGCGTGCCCGGTCATCGTCGCAGCCTGTGACTCTCAGGTATATTCTGCGTTCCAGCTCGCAGCCGTCAGAGGCTCGGCTTCCGTAAGATGGTTAATTACGCCGCTTTTGTGTGCGGGGTGGGTCGGTGGGGGCAGGGCTGCCCGAACAGCACAGCCCCCTGCCGGATCCGCGGCTCTCCATTGGCTGGGAGGGGACCTGTCCGAGAGCCTCACCCGCCGCAGAAGCGGAAATGATTGTCCTGATGGCGCATCACAGATTTAAAAACAAAACAAGGAGCAAACAAACAGATAACCCGATGGCGGCGAAGGCCTCATTCCTTCGATTAAGAGGGAAGGAGGGAGGAAACGATGTCCTCAGGACCCGGGTTGGCGGTGCCTCAGCCGGCCACTCCCTATGGATTGAGCCGTGAGCCTAGGACCGGGCGGGGCGTGTGCTGGAGAGACTAGACCTCACCGGGCTCGCTCGCTCGGGCCGCGGAGGGAAAGGCGCTCCTCGCAGTGGTGCACTGCGGTGACCTTGACCGGCAGGACTTCGGGAGGCTGCAGAATGGTGTAGAGCTCACAGTGCATCCTCCGAAATCTGACCAGATGCGGGGTTGAGCCCTGGATCGGCTTCAGTTTCCTCATCTGTGAAATGGAAAAAACGGTCCTGGCGTTTCAGCATTTGATGAGATAATGCACGGGAGTGGTTAACGCGGTGCAGGAGCACGAGAAAGGCTGTATACATGTTTCTTGCTTACTGTTTTTTAAAAATAATTTTTAAAAATTGATTTGAGAGAGAGAGGAGGAGGAGGGGAACGAGGAGAGGGAGGGAGGGAGAGAGAGAGAGAAAGAGAGAGAGAGAAACATCGATCTGCTGCCTCCTGCAGGTACCCTGACTGGGGATGGAAGCTGAAACCTGGGCATATATGCCCTGACTGGGAATCCAACCGGTGACGTTTGGTGCACAGGGCCACGCTCAACCAACTGGGCCACACAGGCCAGGCTCTTGCTTACTTTTTAGACCTGTAGCAGGTTGAATAGAGCCTCTTTCCCCCAAAAAGATATGGCCATGCCCTAACCCATGTGACCTTATTTGAAAAAAATAGTCTTTGTAGCTGGAAGTAAGTTAAGGATCATCCTGGATTTAGGATGAGCCTTAAATCCGATGACAAGTGGCTATGAGAGAAGAGAAGGGAAGGGGACATGTGAGAGAGGAACACCATGTGACCAGGAAGGCAGAGGTCAGGTGATGCATCTATAAGCCAAGGAACACCAACAATTGCAGAGGCTGGGAGAGAGGCCTGGAATAGATTCGCCCTCACAGCCTCCAGCAGGAGCCAGCCCTGCCAGCACCCGGACTTTGGACTTCTGTTCTCCAAAACTGCAAGAAAAGAAACGTCTATAGCTTTGAGCCATCTGGTTTGTAGTCCTTTGTTATGGCAGCTAATATATGACCCCAAGTAGGACCTGGTAGGAACTTACGCTTATTCTTCTCTCCAGCTCCTTAATCACCACTGTGGTATTTGCCTGTTCTGTGAACACATCAAGTTTATTCCCACCCCAGGGCCCTTGCACATGCTGTTCCCTCTGCCAGGAACGCTTTCCCCCCCGAAAGTTCACATTATTCAGGTGTCACCTCAGAAGTATTCTCCTCAGAGAGGCCTTACCTTATCACCCCCTACCTTGCCTCCTACTCCATCCCCCTACATCCTATTGTCCAGTCTGATTTTTTAAAGTATATATACTTAGATTGTGGTACAATGTGGTACATAACATAAGATTTGTCACTTTAACCATTTGCAAGTAAGTACACAGTTCAGCGGCATTAAATACATTCACATTGTTGTGCAACTATCCCCACTATCTAGTTCCAGAACTTTTTCATCACTCTAAAGGGAAATCCCATCCCCATTAAGCCCTCCCTCAATTCCCCCTGCCCAGCCCCTGACACTCATGAATCCACTTTCTGCCATATATAATGTGGGTTTGCCTGTTCTGAACATTTCCTACAAATGGAACCACACACTCCATGGCCTTTTGTATTCGGCTTCTCCCACTGAGCATCATGTTTTCAAGTTTCATCCACATGTACCGAGTGTCAGAGCTTCACTCCTGTTCATGGCTGAGTAATATTCCAGTGTGTGGATGGACCATATTGTATTTATCCATTCGCCAGTGGTTGGACACTTTTGTTGTTTCCACTTTTTTTGGTTATTGTGAATAGTACTGCTGTCAACATGGGTGTCTATGGACTCATTGAGAAACCTGATGATTTTTCCCCCACAGCACTTCCCACTTGAAATGATTTACTTGTTTCTTTGTTTATTGTCTGACCTTCCTAATTAGACTATAAATTTCAAGGCAAATTAGACGTAGTGGGTCTTGTTCACTGCAATATTCTCTGTAGAGGGCAGCTGCATCTGACACAAAGGAGATGTTTGGGAAACGTAGGTAGGATACATGAATGCTCGTTCCCGTCATGGGTACCACACAACACGATTGTGTGGCTGCTTCCCTCACAGCATCAAGGTATGTACCGCTCCAAGCCAAAGGCATAAAGCAACTGCCCCACAGCAGAGGGGGATTGGAGCCCAGAGCCTGCAGCACAAGATCTGGACTTTGCACCTCCTGGCTGGAGGAAGTGGAGCTCTGGGAAAGATTCCTGTGTTACCTGAGTGGGAAATTCAGACGAGTCCTGTGCTGGGCACTGGGGTCTGAAACACAAATAAGACTTTACTTTCATAGGACTCCCACTATGAGAAACAGATGGGCAAAGGGATCTGGGCTAGTTTAGAGACATCTTGGAAGCAGAGTGGCTTGGGGGGAGGGGTGTGCATGGGAAGATATCCCAGGGCAGTGAAGATGTGGGTTAGACCCTGAGGACTGAGGAGGAGTTAGAAGGATGGAAAGGGAGAGAAAGGCAGTCTGGACAGAGGGCTATTTGAGAAGCCCAGCCTCTCCCCGATGAGAGGGCGCTGGGAGCTGTCCGTGGTGCTGCAGCAGCAGCCACTCGGGAGCCCAACTTGAGACCTAAGCTTGGTGTTTGTATTTTAAATTGCGTTAAAATATGTATAACAGAAAATTTACCATTCTGATTATTTTAAGTGTAAGGTTAAGTGGCATTAATTACATTTCACAACTATCACCACCATCCATCTCCCCACCTTGTTCATCTTCTCAAACTGAAACTCTTTCCCCGTAAACACTAATCCCTCATCCCATTCCCCAGTCCCCCATAATGTAAGCTTCTTGAGATCATAGATGTTGGAGTTTGTTATTACTGAATCTCTAATTCCTAGACCAGTGTTTATAACTGGGAAGTGATTCTGCTCTCCCCCACACCCAGGACATTTGGTGATGTCTGATGACATTTTTGGTTATCACGACTTGAGGGATGCCAGTGATCCTGGCATGGAGTGGGTAGAGACCAGAGATGCTGCTCTACACCCTACAATAGACAATACTCCACAATAGGGAATTATCTGGACACAAGTATCAACAGTGCTGGGGCTGAGACCTAGAAGAATTCCTGAAACATAGTTGGTTCTCAGTAAAGTTGTTAAAGCATTGAAATTGTTAAACCTCCTCAAGTCTCATTTTCCTGGCTTGCAAAGGGGATTAATACGAGTACATTTGATCCTCATCACTTGTTGTTTTCTTATTTGTGAGTTTGCCTACTGGCTGAAATTTATTTGTGACATTTGTAACCCCCAAATCAATATTCATGGTGCTTTCCGGGTCATTTGCAGGCAGCCCAAAGCGGTAAAAAATTTGAGTGCAGGTTCCCTCCTGCTCTGTCCAGACTGTAAATGACTTCCCTTTTTGGGGTTTATTTAATGCTGTGCTTTTGCATTTTTTGTGATTATTGTTGGTGATTTCACTGTTTATAATGGCCCCCACTCATGTCGCTGAAGAGCTGTCTAGTGTTTCTAAGCACAAGTTGGCTGGGATGTGCCTGATGGAGAAGATATGAGTATTTTTAAAAATATATTTTTTATTGATTTTTTTTTTTTTTACAGAGGAAGGGGGAGGGATAGAGAGTTAGAAACATCGATGAGAGAGAAACATCGATCAGCTGCCCCCTACTGGGGATGTGCCTGCAACCAAGGTACATGCCCTTGACTGGAATAGAAACCTAGGACTCTTCAGTCCGCAGGCCGACGCTCTATCCACTGAGCCAAACCGGTTAGGGCAAGATATGAGTATTATATAAGCTTCATTCTGGCATGAGTTATAGTGCTATGGGCTGTGAGTTCAATGTTAAGGAATCACAATGTATATCAAGGTGTCCTTAAACAAAACATACACATAAAACAAGGTGATGTACTGATCAGTTGATAAAAATGTTGCGACCAGAGCCTCACAGGAACCCAACCCTGTATTTCCCTACAAGCAGTGGTTCAGTGTTTGCTATTCAGTGTTTGTACCAACTTTATAGAATGTAACTACTGCCGATAATGAGAACTGACTGTACCTACTTCCGAGGGCCAGTGTGAGGACTAGTTATGATGGTGCAGGTAAAGCATTTAGCACAATGCTTGTAGTCAATATCAGGAAAAGAGGTGTTATGTAATCCAGGGAAAACAATTAAAACAGCTCTGCTTTTGTATAAAGCATGCAGCCTTCATCTAGTTAGAGCTGCAGGGAATTGGAGGGAGGCCATGTATCATTACCACGCTGGGCTTTAGCCAGCACATGGAGGGAGAACTGTGCTTGGCAGATTGTTCCTCGAGGCCACACATGGTCATAAAGACACAAATGGAAGAATGCCATCTGCTAAATCACCCAAAGGGCTTTCCTTGGCACCCTGGGCTTGCCATGGTTTCTGTCCAAGAATTAACTGGCCCCCTGCTTGCTTAAATTAAGGGGCAAAAGAATACCACTCTACCACAGTCAGTAAATGTACTTTTTTTGGCCTTTTATAAAATTAATTTTAAAAAATTCGAAATAATTTTAGAATCCCATGTGGTTGTAAGAAATAACACAGAGAGATCCCGTGTATCCTTTCCCCTCCAAGTTACCCAATGGTAACATCTTACAAAATTATATTACAATTTCACTATTGCTTTTGATAGTCAAGATTCAAAATTTTTCTATCACCCCAGAATCTCTCATGTTGCCATTTTATAGCCACTTCCACTCCCCATCTCCTGTTCCCATGTCCTTAACCCCTGGAAATCACAAATATGTTCTCCATTTTTTATAATTTTGACCTTTCAAGAATTTTATGTAAATAAAGCCATAAGACTTTTGACATTGGCTTTTTCCACTCAGCATAATTATCTAGAACTTCATCTAAGTGGTTGTATGTATTAAGAGTTTATTCCTTGCCCAGGCCAGGTAGCTGAGTTGGTTAGATCATCGCTCCCAATATGCTAATGTTGCGGGTTCAATCCCTGGTCAGGGTACATACAAGAATCAACCAATGAATGCATAAATGGAACAACAAATCAGTGTGGGTCCCCCCTCTCTTTCCCTCCCTTCTTCTCTCTCTCAAATCAATCAATCAATCAATAATAGAGAGTTTATTCTTTTTTGTTGCCAAGTATTCCATTGATATGAAATGTCTAGAACAGGAAAATCCATAGAGACAGAAAGCACATTGGTGATTGCCAGGAGCTGAGGGAGTGACTGCTAATGGGTACAAGGTTTCTTCTTGGGGTAAT